AACTCCAGAGCCTGGTGGTCTACAGTTGTGATGACTTAGGTGACATTAGAGGGCCTGGCAGAGACAGACAACTCCCTCCAACACCCTGCAGTCCTCACAGCACTAATCTGCTCCGAGTCAGCAGCTTGCAGCCCCCTTCCTTGACCTAGAATTCTGGGGTCTCTATTGTTTCCTCCATTGTCAGCTACTTGCTGCCATGTGGTAGGGCAGTCAAGATCCCACCCTGCACCTTCCCAGACACGGGCACACAGAAGTGCCCAGCTAATACCAAGCTTGTTGTTTCCATCCTGGGAGCACAGCTTGTCCTGTGATAAGAGCTGGAGGACGCACTGTCCTCACACAGGACTCTTGATCCTGCTCGACAGTCCCTGAGAGCAGTGAGGTCCGCGCGCTCCCTGCCTTTGCCCTGCTCAGGGCCACCTGGGACACCGGAGCCTTCAGGGGTAGTGACCTGTGTTCTCAGAGGACTGCTGACCTTTGAGCTTGGATGACAGGCATGGGCATGTGACAAACACCTCACCTAGCATAGCACTTCTGCCTGGGGACTCCCAGTACCCAGTCTCCCCCAAAGGGGGCAAGTGTTCCCTCCTGCCCCTGACAGGCTGCATCTCAAAGGAGCCCGTGTGAATATTTACTCTCTTCTTCCTAGTTTTAAATGTAACGCTCTCCAGGTGGCTAATCTTAAAACAAAATCAAACAAAAATAGAAAATAACAAGGGTTAGAAAGGACATGAAGAAATAGGGCCCTTGTGCGTTATGGCTGGGAATATACAACCGTGCAGCTGCTACAACAAAAGGGCCCCTTACAAAAAGTAAGCACAGAATGACGTCACGATTCAGCAGTTCCACCTCTGGATATAAACCCAACAAAATGGAAAGCAGGGACTGCAACAGATATGTGTGCGCCCAGGTTCATGACAGCATTATCCATGTACCATAGCTTAGCGAATAAGAGCTTTTGGGGTGATGAAAAATTTGAAAAAAAATTTGTGTGTGAGGGGGCCGGGGAGATGGCTCAGTAGAATAAGCGCTTGCCTGGCAAGTGCAAGGGCCTGAGTTCAATCCCCGGTTCCATCAAAAAAAAAAAAAAAAAAAAATGTGTGTGTATAAACATGGTTTAAATGATAAATTTAGAAGAAAGGTAGATGGACAGATAGGTCTACATCTCTACATACAGATACAGATAGATCCACAATTAAAAAGGAATGCTAGCAGGTTGGACTGTAGCTCAGTGGTCGAGCGTGTGCCTGGCACGTGGCCCTTCTGAGAGGAGCCTCGTGAGGTGCTGGCTTAGGCTTCCTGATGTCTCACTCCTATGCACGCCAGATAGCCTACCTTTCCTTTTTATCACACGTTTTCTTTTTCTTTTTTTTTTTTTTTTTGCGGAACTGGGGATTGAACTCAAGCCCTTGAGCTTGCTAGGCAAGCACTTATTCTACTGAGCTATCCAGCCCCTATCACAGGTTTTCCCTTATGTGACTCCTCCTCTCATACTCTTCAGATGCCTGAGCAGGGAGCATAAGGGACATTCTCTCTGTTTCCTGGGCTCCTTCCCACCAGCTCTCAAGCCTCCGTTGCGCAGCTAGCATGCCCGGCCAGTGTCCTCCCTGAGAGAGTCACAGGTCTACCTGTGCCCTGTGCCTTTTTGCCTCCTGACATTTTCACATACAAGTATGCAGGCATCTTTCCTTAACAAGCAGGTTCGTCAGCTTTCCACTACCATAACAAATAGCTGCAACCAATTAACTTAAAATAAGAAAAGGTTTGTCTCGGCTCACGATTTCAGAAGTTTCAGTCCATGATGGCTGGGCCTGTGATGAGACAGCACATCATGGTGGAAGCACACCATAGAGGAAGCTGCTCACACCAAGGCCACAAGGAAGCAAGGGAGAAGAAAGGAAGGAGCCAGGGATGCAACACCCACCTCAAGGGTATGTCCTGGAGGACCCAGCTTCCTCCCATGAGCCCCACGTCCTCATTTACCTTCCCAATAGCACCACAGGCTGGAGACCAAGCCAAGCTAAGCTGTCCACATAGGTGCCTCTGGGGATAGCCAAGATCTGAACTACAACCATGGGGCTGTGTAGTACATACTCGCCAGGACCTTGCTTTCTTTCTTTTTTAAACTTAAAAATCTCTTTGGCATTTTGTCATATATTAAAAACAAAAACAAAAACAAAAACAAAAAAAAACCAGACCTCCCTGAGGGAAATCAGGACATTTTTTCTTGACCTCAGGACCCCGTGGGAGCCCCTTGAGTGACTGTCAGAATGTCTCTGAAAGTAGCATGTGGTGCTAGTTACTGAAGCAAGGCCAGACAGTCACTTCTTGGTCTCGTCAGCTGTCTCGCGATCTTCCCTGTGAGGGATGACCATGGGGTTGACTGGGTCACAGCAAGGTGAAACAAAAAGACTTAAAAGGGGGAGACCTCATTCCTTGAGAGACAGACCCAAATCCAACTAGGATGAAGAATACCTCAGACACCTAGAGCAGGGCAGGGGGAAGGGGAGGCTTCAAAGGGTCAAGGCAGCAGCAGAAACTTCCCCAGGACACAGGGGTTGTCAGTTAAGGCCACTAACGGCCACAGGTACCTACTCTGGAAGATAAACACAGAGCTGGATTTGTTGAACTAGTTCTAGGAATATTAAGGCCAGCTGGAGAACTTAGTTTGGAAAACAGACAATAAAGGAAGCTAAAAGAGGAAACTTCAGAAAACTAGATCAGTGGGGACCGCTGCCCTCACTGAAGCATGTTCACATGTCGAATCCTACTGTGCCTGTGAACAGGAACAGAGGTGGCTGCGGCAGCCTCATGACCTAGACTGCAGGAGCGAGGGCAGCTAGAGAGCGCACTTAGTGGGCACTGACTGTGTCACAGCGGTAAGAAGCGAATCAGTTGCCGCGCCCTTGCTTCTGCATGATCTCATGCTGAGTGCCTGAACCGCTTGCGCCGTGCAACCCTGAGAACAACTCTCCAAGCTCAGGACTGTCATGCCTGCCTTCCAAAAGAGGATCTATAACCTGCCCCAAATCACCCAGTAGTCAGTTGAAAAGCAGGGATCCAAGCCCTGGTGCCCCTGATTCTCAAGCATACCTCCCTCCCAAGAGGCAGGTGCCCAGGCTGGAATCAGCGGCTAGAGATTTTGCTGCCACCCCAAGAGCACCTGGGGAGGGAGGCAAGCAGTCCTGAGACTCCCCCCCGGGGGCCTGCCCCACAGTGTGTTCTCAGCCTTTTCCAGGAGAGCCCTGAGGGGCTGCACCTGCTCTGGGGAGGAGAGGTGATAACCGGATGCGCAGACCTGGGTCAGAGCTCTCAGAGGCCTTTTGCACTGGCCCTCCTCTGAGTTTCCTTTCTTGGAAGAGCACAAACCTCCCAGGTTGGATGGGGAGCTGGCTGGGCAAACAAAGCACTCCGGGAAACTGCAAGCTCCACCCCAAACAGGCAGGCCACTTGGCAGAAGGCTCAAGGGTAGAGCACCCTAGGGTTCCCAGGCTCCGGCACCTGTTCCAGCCCTGCTCCCTAAACTTGCCCACATCCGCAGGCATTGTTACTCATCTCTGGAGCCCATGGGTCTAGTCACAAGTCAAGAAATTTCTTGGCTGGCCAAATAGCTCAGCAGATTAAAGCATCTGCTTAGGCAGACGCAGGGGTGAGGGTAGGGTGGGGGTGGGGGTGGGGAGGGGGCTTTGATCCCCTGGTGTGCTGTGCCTGTCGCCCCCAGGGGAGTGCTGAGAGGGCTAGGTGCAATTGGGAAGATGAAAATAGGAGGATCACAATGAGTCTGATCTGCGTAATGAGACCCTGTACTAAACACATTAAAGAGAGAGAGAAAAGAAACTTCTCAAACAAGCATGAATCACTTTTACATTTAGAGGATGGATTAAACTCAACTGTACACAGAGAAGCTAAAGGCACAGGTGTTATATGCCAGGTAGGACCGTCCTTTCCCTGCGTGAGGGATTGTGTCCTGCTCACCTCTAGGTGTCTCTCTCAGCATGAGACCCAAGGGCAGGAACTCAGCTGGACAAAAGCTGTTTGTTCATTGTCTGGGGCCCAGAACAGTACTTGGCACATGGAGGGGGTTCAATAATTATCTGTTGCCTCAGTGACTGAAGTGTTGCGGATTTTGTCTTCTGAAGGTGTGATGTCTTTCTTTTCCACCTTGTCTTAGAGGGTTCCCCAACACCCTCTTCAACATACAGGCCCTCCCCACTCCTGTAGTCACACGGCTCAGGCCTCACTGTCCCCACAAGTGTGCTGCCAGAAACTGCTAAGCTTTGTCAGTCAGCCCCCCCCCCCCCCCCGCCCCAAGAATCCCACGACAACCAGATGGGGCTAATTTCTCAGCAACTGTATTGAGTATAGAGAAGGGGTGTTACTGCCCACCGGGCATGTGTCCTCCTCAGACTCATAGAGGATACGCTTAGGGACTGATGGGCAGACAGGGGGCAGGGCAGGGCAGGTGTCCATGGTAATGGAGCGAGGACACCAGGGGCAGCTCAGCTCTCCAAAGGGGCGGGCTCTGGCTGCTCCTGCGGCTGCTCCTGCGGCTGCTCCTGCGGCTGCTCCTGCGGCAGCTCCTGTGGCTGCTCCTGCGGCAGCTCCTGTGGCTGCTCCTGCGGCTGCTCCTGTGGCTGCTCCTGCGGCAGCTCCTGTGGTTGCTCCTGCGGCTGCTCCTGTGGCTGCTCCAACCCTGCTTCGGGAGCACCCTGCTCTGGGTGAACAAGGGTCAGGGGCTTGTTCTGGTTCTCCTTCTCCAGGGTGCTGAAGAAGGAGCTGACCTGGTCCCGCAGGTCCTTCTCCAGGAAGCGCAGGTGGCCCTCCACGTCCCTCGCGTAAGGGCCCAGCTGCTGCCTGAGCTGCTCCATGTGCTGCACCAAGGCTGTGTTCATGGTCTCCCCATAGGGCTTCACGCTGGTCTGGAACTCCTCCACCTGCTGGTCCAGGTGGCTGCTCAGCTGTGCCAGCGACTTCTGCAGCCCCTCTGTGTTGCTTTTCAGCTTGCTTCGGACATCCTCCACCACGGGCATCAGCCTCTGCTGCAGCTGGTTGGCATTGGCGGTGATCTTGGCCTGAAGCTGTTCCACATTCTTCTTCATCTGAAAGGCCAGGCCCTCGAGCTGGTGGTTGAGCTTCCCCTGGACGTCCTGCGCATAGGGGGCCAGGCTGTGACGCAGCTCCTCGATGTTTTCGTCAATCTTCTCCTTGAGGCCCTCCGTGTGGGACATGAGGCGCCCCTTGAGCTCCTCCACGTTCTTGTCGAACTTGGTCTTGAACTCCTCGGCGTAGGGTAGAAGGGAGACCTGCAGGTTTCCTATGTTCTCCTGCAGGACAGACTCCATGTGCTGCACATAGGGAGTCAGCTGGTTCCGCAGTTGCTCGGCCTGCTTGTTGACCTGGGTGTGCAGCTCCTTGGTGTAGGGCTGCAGGCGCTGCTGCAGCTCTTGCATGTTGTCCCCGATCTTCTGACTCACCTCCCGGGCATGGGGCAGCAGGTAGGCACGCAGGTCCTCCACCTCCTTTTGAATCTGCTCCTTGACTTTTGCTGAGTCCTTGGTCAGGCGCTCATGCAGCTTGGTGGCAAAGGGCACTAGCTTCTTCTGCAGGTCAATGGCATAGGTGTTTACATCCCCCACTTTGTCCTGGAAGAGGGTGCTGCAGGGGAAGGGCACAGAGAGCCACCGTTATGCACGTGTTCATGCTTGCCTTATACATACCAGCCCAGCTCAGGTTTCAGGTCGTGGTTCCCAACTCACTCATCTTTTTCCCTCCCTAGCTGGGGTCCTGATAGGAGGGAATAGTAGCAGACTGTTGCAACCCTGAGTTTGTGTCTTTGCATCTCCCACTGACTTTGAGTGCCATCCTCCACCTCTCACAGGGCTGCAAGCAGGTCACCTCCCCTCCTTGGCTGTGGGGAATGGGAGTGGACGTGGGGCCCCTCCCTGCC